ACATTATTAGAGTTGAACATCTTTTTGATATTAAACATAAATTTTCATTAAAATAAGCATTTCTAACAAGCAACTTACCTGTTGGGCTAACTCACGAGTTGGTGCAAGGATCAAGGCCTGGCATTCTTTAATACTAGTATCAATTTGTTGAAGAATCGATATAGAGAACGTTGCAGTTTTTCCAGTACCTGTACGTAGTTGGAAACATCGATTAGTAATGCATAATAAATTTAACACAAAATATTTACATATTATTAATTACTAAATAAATATTTACATATTATTGTCTATATCAAAATTTCTTACCTGACTGGGCCTGAGCAATAACATCGAGCCCCCGTATACACGGTAGGATGGCACGTTGTTGAATTGCAGATGGTTTTTCAAACCCATAAGCATATATTCCACGTAACAGTTCTTCTTTCAAGTTCATTTCATCAAAGTTCTCCACAACCTGTTTAGATTAAATAGAATATGAGTAAACTATATTATTGTAATAAATTCAGTTTTATTATTATCATAGTGATATTATTAAAAGCACTGTATATTTTATCAATATTACATATTTATATATTGTATAATATGTATGTACAATCATATACATGTAAAAGTAAAATTGATTAATGTATGCTTTTAATATATCACAATAGAGATTAAAATGTATTACATATAACTGATAATTTTTAATATTTTTTTTTATTTGTATAAGTTAGTAAATATTTAGACAATTTTTATAAATATCGAGAAATATTTAGTTATCTTAATATTCTCGATAACAAACAAGTATATATATTATATATAATACACTACTGTTCATAAATTTGGGAACGTTTGCGATTTTCTCGCATGTCACGAAAAGTATCTCGATAAAAGAATAATTATAGACAAGTTTTTAAAAATGCATTTTAAAGAGGAGAAAAAGAACTTTAAAATTTCATTCTTTTTTTAGTTTCTACAATACATTTTGTTCCTGAATTACATAAAATATTTCGAGCACAAATATCTAGCCTTGGCCGTTTTTAGTATTTTCCCTTCATTTATTTGTTATATATACACACAGCGACCTAAATTGAAATTATTGTTAAAAGTTGATATTTTTCCATATTTTTTATTTACTTTGAAGCGCTACTTTTGAATACCTGCATGCTTAGGTATAGAAATTATAATTTATACTGGCAATACTAATGTGGAGCATAAAGAAACAGTGTGACACTGCGTCTTTCAATAGTTAAAAGAAAGCAAAATCTTTTACTGTAATACAGAATACAATAGTAGTAGTACGTTATAGTAGTATGTTACTTACAACGTCCCAATTGGACTCGATGATGCCATCGGGGTCCATTCCGGGAGGTCCATCGTACGTAGGTTGTTCACTTTCACTAGGACCATTTTTTGAATCCCCTGGCCATTGATCATCATTTCTGAAATGTACAGATAAGATATTAGAGCAGGTAACAAAAATGCAGATAAGATTAATAATAATATTAAACGTCAAATCATGAGATGCATTATTTCTATACAACTATAGTAAGGCTTTCTTCGCTTCAGTTATTCACAGATAACAACAGCTTCTTTATACAATTCGAACCCAAATTAAGACTATTAAGAACTCGACCAGTTTTTGAGATCCAAATCTCAAGTACTCGCAACTAATGCGGCTCGCATAAAGATATACGAGTCGGTTAGGTTTTTCGTTTCGCGCAGCTCATATACTTTTTGCGCGAAACACTGCCGTTGTCTCTTGATATCGGTCGATTTTTTTATAACACAGATAAGATTATAACTAGCAAGATTTTTATATTTTAAATAAGCTATAAAATATATTTCATATTCACGAAATACACAATTTTACTTTTATTTTATTTTTTTTATTGCAATATATATTAATTTCTGGTATAGAAAATACATTTTCGACAAAGGGAAGTAAAAATTCAGTCTAAATTTTTATAGTGCAAAACTTATACATAAAAGATCCAAAAAATCCTAATCTTATTTCCCTGTAAAAAAAATGATCGAACCTCATGTAATACATTTGATAGAAATTCTAATAAAAATATTGGTGCACAAATTCGGCATTCAGCACCGATTCAGACGCGATAATATCAGTCACGGCGATCGGGCGATGACAAATCAGTTTATTAAATCCACGTGACCTTGAGAGCGGAACTTTTAATTCAATCCCGTGGAGTAACGTCGTCGATCGAAACTTCGTGCGATTCGATGGCCATTTTTACGTTCCGAGGGAGCACGTCGGCGAGCAGGTCGGCGAGAACCGAAGCCGCGTGGAGGCGGCGCACGAGGAGGTCGCCGCTGGCCGCGCCGCGATAATCGCTCTGACAGTGACTCACGCTGAAGCGTGCTCGAGACGTGTTGCTTCGCCGAGGGAGGGATCGTGCCAACGATGACTGTGCGTCCGGCAATGTGCGAGGGACACCTCGGGGGATCGTGGGTCAACGCGCGATTGATTTTTTTTTTTCTTTCTCTCCGCCCCGGCACGGGAAATATCGCGCGAAAAGCCGATATATTTTCATTACGTAATTTCGTGGCCAAAACCGGAGGAAAATGTGCTCGTCGCTGTCGAGGTTGCTCGCTCGCTCGCTCGCTCGCACGCACGGGCGAGAGAAAGAGAGAGAGAGAGAGGTGCCTTCACCCACGCTAACGGCGTCGGGGCGCGTGCTGCACGCCGTCGTGAGAGCCGTGCTCTCCGTCGCTCCGGATCGTGCCACGCGGAACCTCCGCCGCGCGGCATCCGCCGCTCGAGGAGGTTAAGCGGCGCGGGCCGACGGGACGGCGCGCGTGGACGGGCCCGCGGCGCCATTAGTCGCGGCGCGAGGGCAATGTGACAAAAACGAATGCACGCCATGTTGTCAGTCTCGTGTCCCCCGTGCATCCGTCCGATTGCGGCACACTATTCCCCGCGGGCGTATTTTAACCCGCGCGGACGCGAATTTCGCGGCGCGCGCGATCCACGACGGCGCCGGCATCACGTAGGACGCGGCGCGCCGCCAGAACGCGAGCGCGGTACACCGTTAACGCTGGAAAAACGCTCGACTTACCTTCTCTCTGTAGTATGAGACATGTTCAACGCGCGAGAGTTCGGCGGAAAGGAAGAGCTCGTCTGGCGTCACGAGGAGTATTCGCGAGACTGCCACGCTAGGGCGCTGCGCGCGCGGTGTGTTTAGAGTTCCTCTAGTCAGAGTTGAGACACGAGCGGTCCTCTTCGTGATTGGTGCCGCCATATTTCAGTTTGTCGATGTGTTAGTTAATGTAAGTGAATAGGTGAAATCAGTTTTTGTTGGTATAGAGTACTACAGACAACAGAGTTGTCATGGTTGTCACACAGAATTGACAGAATCAAATTATAGAATTTTACAAAAGTAAGAAATTATTCTTCAATCATTGTATGGTATGGTTCTACAGAGTGTATCACCACAAACCGATTCTGCAACTATATCTAAAATTAAACAGTAACCAGTAGTAAATACTTCAGATAACGTTTCTGCGCACATTATTTGATATATTTACTATTGGTTATAGACGTTATAGATTCATACGTTTATTTTGTAGTAATATAAAAAATTATGTTACATTCATGTCGCATTTTTATTCTGAGTGTGAAAACATTTTGAAAATTATTTTAGTATAAGTTATAATTCATTTCCATGATTTGAAAGTTGCGCCAGCGAATTATTGGCTGTTTCCGGTAAGACTGAAACATGGCGTCTTTCCGCCTCATGTCTCAACTCTGACTAGAGGAACTCTAGGTGTGTTGCACCGGAAAGCACCGGTGCGCCGATTTTTGGGTGTGCACACACACGTGAGCTTTGTTCGCGCGACGTCCGGGACCGGCGCGCCGATTGGCCCGGGCGCAACGTTGCGAATCGTCGCGCTCAAATTGGATTTTTTTCTCGTAAATTTTCATGATTTTGAAGTTACACATACCACACTTGCCGATCCAACCGCGCATGACGGAAATGACGTAGGTTATTCTGGGCGCCTCAGTGCCACGAGATCGCCTTGCGCCGGGGCTTTTTGTGGGAAATACGAACAGCTGGCGCAGTAAGATTTTTAAGTAAGTATTAAAATAAGATTTTAATTAAATGTGTTGACATAAGATCATATTGGTCATAGTTATACATAGCCATTAAAAAATGTATATTTATGATTTTATTGATTTGTAATTAATACATGTGAATTTCTATTGTAATATAAACAGTAACATTTATTTTATGGTATATATATATATATATATATATATATATATATATTTATAAACTAGATTATATATATTATACGTCTCTAGTTTAAAATAATTTTTGTTTAGCTGCTCTTAACTTATAATTTATAAATTAGGTTTTGAATACACATTTAAATTTCAGAGTATTAATATGTTCTAGAACCATCTCGAACACACTCAGAGTATTATATGTGCTCTAGAACTCATTCAAATTTGTTACCATTAGAGCTTTTTGATTAACTTCAATATGATTTTTCCCGAAGAAATGAAAGAAAATTAAACTTCATAAACCAAAATTGTCGATAAAAAATATTAAAATAAAAAATAACAGCTCTTAAGAAATTAATTGAAAAATACAATTTCATTGCTTAATTTATCTAATAATTTCTTTATTTTTAATTATTCGAAAACTAACATTTTCATTAATTAAGAGCTAGAACAAAATCAATTCTACGGATAGATCTATAGAAAAAAAGATATGTGATAAACTTGGAACATTGCGTATTATACATACATTTATACATTAAAGTTATGTTATGAAATAATATACAGAGTGAATATTACATAATGTAAAAGATTTTAAAGGCTGATTCTTTACATAAATTTAAGATGAAAACTAATATGATCAAACAGCTTAGTTTTAAAGATATAGGGTGTTAAAATTAAAAAATTTTACTTTTTTTTTTTTTTTTTTTTTTTCAAAAATAACCTGAGTGGTTTTTCGAAATTTTTGAAAAAACAAAATTTTTTCTTTAACTTTGACACCCTGTATATCTTTGAAATTAAGTCGTTTCAGGCATATGAAGTTTTCGTCATGAATTTGTGCAAAGAGTCACCCCTTAGAATCTTTTGCATTATTTAATATTCTGCACTATGTATATATTATACATGTATATATTATACTTTTATCTACATATACATTTACAATTATGATGAACAAGGTAATCTATTATAAGAAAAGTATATTAAGAAAATAAGTAATGAAATTATATTTTTTAAATCGATACATATCTTTCATCTTAAGTAAATTATTTATTACATCTAATCAAAAGCATAATTTCCTTCGTCTTGTCGTATATTGAATTTTTAATCAATTCATAACTTCACTCATGTAAATTTATATTAAAATGACAATTTCGCACTTCTTTGTACTCAGCAGTCTGCAGGTATTTCCAAGTAGTCGAGCTATTCTATAAAAGCACAACTAAGAATTAAGAGCAATGCCGCAATTGGAAAAATCATGTACGCGCCCATTCGTGGCTGACAGATAGAAATTAGCATGTCAACGTCGTCCATCTCGTTATGCTCTATACCATCCTTAGTTGGTATTTCGACAATTACCCTATCCGCTGACAGCGGGTTTATAAAAAATGAGCATTCAGTTTGATTGATACATGATTTAGTCACATTTTCATATTGAAAAGTTGGCTTGTATATATCAAAAATCGCATGAATATCATTGGATACAATATCGTTATCGCTGTAAAAAATGTAATAATAGTAACCATCTTGTTCCACGTGGTGATTTGCCTGCATGTGCTTACTATTAAGCAAATAGGAAATATTGGTACATTGATCTGAAGGTTGAAATTCATGCGCCAGCAGTATTACACCATCGAAACAATTTAATAAGTCAGCTTCAAAACTGGACACGGACGACCTTCCGTTAGAATCAGACGTGTAATTTTTATTGGCATTTCCACCGTGCGTGATGCCTTGATCTAATAAAGATGGTGGCTTTATGAGTTCTCTGCTTCTTTTAAATCTCTTGGTATCTATCTCATCTTTCTTCTTTGTTCCTTGTCTCTTCCTTACATTGATTATACGTGAATGCAATGCTTGTTTTAATTTTTGTAGACGTGTCTTTCTATCGTATTTGCAGTGACATTTTTTTCTTTGCTTCATTCTTTTATTTTTATGGTCCTTCATCTTATGGCGTTTAATATGTCTTTCTTTTCTAATTTTACTCACATTTTCTCGATGACCATCTATATAGTTATGAATATAAGATGTTGCACTACGATACAACGTCTCTAAAGTTTTCGATTTTTCATCCGTAGTATATGCCTGTGCGCTGTTATCTGGATTTGTCTTAAGAATTCTTTTCAAAGGATCTTCGGAGCTTACACTTATAGCTGGCTTATCTATCTCATTGATATTGTGCACAGTTTTAATAGGTTCGATTGTAGTTGCTTCTTCGGAATCAATTTCTTGTGCATCTGATTCATATATTATTTTAACTTGTGTGTCCGCACCTGGTAAGAAGATATCTTGCGTTTGCTTGTTTACATTATGTTTCAGCAGATTACAAGTATGTAGGGTCCTGTTTCCTTTCACCACTAATATAGAAGCTCCTTCGAATCTGAAAATATATTTTTTTTTCTTTCATATGTATGTGATAGAATAAAACTAGGAGAATTGTTTATATTAGTAGATTATGTCTCTAGTCACAAGAAAAATATATTTCCCCGTATTTTCTTTACCTTGAACACACAGAAAGTGTTACGGTTGCATTTTTTAACAAATAAAATTTCCAGTACTCTAATGTATCGTCTGGTAAACTCATGCTCTTCTTAAGTCTTATATGTTTTCGTTTTGATGCTATCTCTGGTCGGTGAGTCATTTGAAAAGCATTAAAAGTGCCATTCATTTTCAAAATATGTTCCTATTAAAAAAAAAGACATTTTTAATTAACGAACAAGCAATTCATAAAATATGATACTGAGTGTGCCAGATTAAAAAGATCATATCTTCTTTAACATTATATACTGATTCATGCATTCTTGTTATATATAACAAATGTGTAATAAAATTTTAGATCAAGTTCTCTGTATTAGAAACTTATAATAATGTCCAATTTTAGAAATAATGACGTTCAATATATTAAATATTTATTTTTATTACCGAACAAAATAATGTTGAAATTCCATCGTTGATTTCTATAATATCAGATTCCGCTACACCATATGCAACATCAGCATAAAACACATGCCGTAGGTACAAAGGAATTGTTATAAGTATGAGTGGTATAACAGCTAATAATATGCACATAAGTAACAATTTTCTTACAACATCCATTTTTACTGTACCTATTAAACAAAATTGACAATATTATTATTAATGCTAATTGAAATATTAGTAAACAAGCTGAAATTTATAAAAATTATTCATATGTATTACATCAATCATGTCTTTTTAATACTTTATAGAGTATAATATTACATATTCACCTAACTTTTAAAATATCTATAAGTTCTTAAATACTAATAATATTGAATAAATAAAAAAGAAAAACTTATTTATAAATATTTAAATAATATAAAACATAATTATATTATATATATATAATTATTTTTGAATGCTTTTCCCTGCTGCTCATTATGATTACAATAATTTGTCATAATATTAAAAAAATTTATAAATATATTTGAGTCATATGAAAATACATATTTTTTGTATAAATAAATTAAAAAAATATATATTATACAAATATGTATAAATAATGTATATATAAATGTTTTACATCATATTTAAATACATATATAAATAAAAGTTTTATATAATTGGCATCATAATGATTATTATGTTATACTAAACATACTAAATAAATAAATTAATATGTAAAAAAATTATATTCTCACGCTCTAGATTGTTATAAATAAATACACTTGTTCGTTTTAGAGGTTATGTCTTTTCATTTATTTAATAAAAAATATCAACTTTGTTTGTACGTACAAACATCAACAATTGTAATAATCTTTTATTAACATATACATCATTTCGCTCAGATTGTGTATGCTTACAATTATAAATTAAAAAATGATATATGCCTTTTTTATTATTCGATCCTCTTTCCAGAAGAAATAATTATCTGTAACCACTGTTTCATTATTTAAAGAGTCTCGAGAATCCAGCGTTGCGATACTTTTTATATATTTTATCAAGTATATTAATTAGATTTTAACAAAAAGAGGTTAGGCGTTAATGAAAATTGAGAGCAGATGGAAACTGAATTCTATTGACAGTGTGATAAGGAAAATACATGATTAGGATTCAACCAATGTCGTAACAGATACGTCTGTTATATTGATACACGAATAACATTCTTTATCGTAGATAATTACAATACGATTATTAGTTAATATTGACATTTTTAATTTTTTTCAATCAACTCAGAGTCAATGTCCTTCAACGAAAAACGAAAGATAATTATTTATTCCGATTGAAATTAAATATTTCTTTTTGTAATTACACAATATATAGGAATAAAATTCTATTAATGTAAAATTTATCTCTCTTACCCTTGCTTTTTAGATTTCACTAAAAATGTATTACCCTCATATCTGCTTTTTCTATACGAATTCTTATATGCACAAATCTTCATTAATACCGCGATTTAATTTTCCAACTTCTTGCCTTTGAATGTAAGAAATTATAAGTAATATTTCTAACTGTTTTATGAACACATGACTCTAGCACATAGCTTATCTCGAAAATGTTCTTAGCAATATTTGGTAAAAGCTAGATTCTATCTTTTCCCTTCCTGCACTTTCTTTTTCCCCTCTTCTATCGCCTTTCAGGTATTTTCAAATCTCTTAAAACTATCTAAATCGATAGTGTTTCAATTACCCATACAAAAGATTAAACTTCCCGTAACCGTTGAATGAAGAAAATTTGTAAATCTTAACTCAAATTAGTCAAATTACTTCCAGAATATTAAAGATGCATTCTTAAGATTATCGAGCCAAATTTTGAGCAGAGTTTCGAGATAAACTTCTTAAAAGAAACTGAATCTCTGAAGAAGTTTGGTTCGTAATAATCTGAACACACTTTTTATAGATGAAAAAAATATCTAGGCCTTCTCGAAACTCAAACCATTAAATGACATGTTGATTAATGCAAAACAAAACTATATAAATTACAAATATTATTATAATTGCAAATAAAGATGAAATAATTATATTTTTAAACTTTTTGAGTTTATCTAAAATTACATCTTTATATACATATGTATAAAATCTAATACTATTCATTATAACACATTAAATAAAAACGAAATAAACAGAATAATTAAAATATTATTATTGTGTGTACATATGTGTGTGTATACATATATGATAGACTTTTTTGACTTACTTTTTTGCAATAAAAAGAAATAATTGCTACAATTACAGCATATATCCCTGTACTTAAAAAGTACTTAAAACGTTATGCTACCTGTTGATTTATAATAATTGTCTCTTGTAGCAGTATGAAGTTCAGATATATCAATCTGATTTAATATTGTTTCTCCAAACAATGTATCCTTATATGCCTAAAATATGAAATAAATTATATTTAATTATTATTTATTTTTATTATCCATTTTATAGCAAATTAGGAATAAATCTAGTTTATAAAAATAAGTTCTATTACATTTATTATTTCACTTGCGTCATATCTTTCCTTAAATTTTGCTGGATATTCATCTTTAAATGCTACATTCATCAAAGTAGCATGTAATTTAATTGTTTCATACTCTTTCTCCATTAAACCTAAAATTTAAAATAATATATATTTTATTTAAAATAATATATATTTATATAAACAAGATATCAAAATATTTAATAAAAATACATATTTTTAAAAATTACACAATAAAGGAAATTAAATATAAAGGAAAACATAGTTACTACTTTGTTATATATTTGCATATAGTTGCAATGTATGCCTCTCTCAAAGCTGTTCAATTTTCTAGTATACCATATATATTATTTACCTGTGTCGATAAAGTATTCAGCAACTTTATTTATGAGTTCTTGCAATTTTTCATTGCGTGTAACTTGTGCATATAAAATTTTAACCTCAGTAGGATCATCGTTCATACATGCAACTCCTTGTAATTGTATATTTAATGGCCCAGTTTCTTCAAGAATAGGACTGTAAGATTATGTAATTGAGAATCTTTTAAAACAGTTACAAATTTATCATATTTATAATACACATGGATAATTACAAGACTTAGTTATATGACTATATCAATAAATTACCATATTATTGTTAAATCTAATATCATCTTACTTTATAATATTTTCTTTACAATCCATGAGTACATCGACAGCATGCTTTTTATCATTATCATCAAATAATTTAAGCATTCCAATAGTGAGATGTAATTTAGATGTTGTTTGAAACAGTGATTCATCAATATTGTGTGTAGTTTTGTTATACTTCTCCAATACTTCATTCTTGAAAGAAAGATATTTATCCATTATCCCTTTTTTATTTAATGGGATTGACAAAAAGTGTGTATAATGTATCTTTTTCTTCAAAGTCTCTATTAACAAATCAATTCTATTTCTTGCAGATATTACAGCCTTGCGTTCCCGTCCAGTAATAACTACAAATAAATATATATTTAAAAATTAATTAAATTAATACAGTTCTTTTATTAATGATAATATTATATATATATATTTTTTTTACCAATGTGTCCATCTTTCCCTTTTTTGGGTATATCAATAGTTGTTCTTGTCTCATTTTCCAATTTCCTGCGTGTTACACCTTTTGTACCAATTATATGCGAGTAAAAGATTCTAAAACGTTATGATAAAATGATAAAATCTAAACTATTACATTTTATTTAATCCATATTATTTGTTAGACAATTTTCACAGTATTAAATTCTGACTTAATATTATAATAAAATAATATTTAAAGATTCTCACTTGGGTACATAAAAGGTATGCTTAAATGATGTACCATGAGGTACTATTTCTATATCAGTTTCAGAATCATCATTGGAACAAACTGATTCTTTGTCCTCCATGTATGGGGCTGATGTATGAATGTTTTTCCAGGCAGTACTCTCGTAAAATCTATAGCACTGTCCATTAACCCAAATTAATTCTGGTTCTAATACATCCATTATATAAAATGCAATACGTTTTATATAAACACTCCTAAAATTTATGTCACATTACTGATGCATTTAGTTTTATAAATACAGATGTTTGCATAAATTTTTAAAATTAAATAAAATATTTTTGACTTTTATCACTTATGAATAAAACACAAAAATAGTTTTATAAAACTATACTTCTTGATATATTATGCAAAAATTATAAGTATATCATAAGTATCATTTACACAGAATAAATTGTTCAACAACTTAAATGTTATATTAACATTATATAGATGTAAAGTTATTGTAATTCAAATAAAATATTTGATAAAATTTAAGATTAAAATATATTCATCAAGTTAATGTGCACATATATATTTATGTTGTATTTTACAAAAACCGCAATATCTTAGAATATTTATTACACATAATTTAAGAAATTATTTTTAACTGACGTAACATAATCATGTTTCAGATTAATTAAAACAATTTAATCTGCAAAATAATAATTTGATTGTTTAATTTTGTGCTAACAGTGCTAACTTAATTGAAGTATGCTCCTTTAGGTTAGAGGTTGCAATATGCTGTCGTGTAATAAAACGCGTCACACGATATAAATAAATAATTATCTCACACTGTATTACTTAGACCCAACGCCCACCTTTTCAATGCATTTAACATTAGATATCTATCAATATCTATTGCTACAAATATGATAAACTACTCCGGTAGATATTCCTCGTTTGACGTTTGACGTGTACTGACCAATCACTAATCAGGATTCAGGGTATACATACAATACAATCTTTTACGAAGGGAATGTGAGATTAGCAATGAGAGAAGGCGAGTTTACGTAATTACACAAAGAAATCGGTCAGTCACGTCGGATTAAAATAAATTCTGAATTAAAAAATTCTTTGTAAAACACGATTTTTATATATTTATACATATCACTTGCAAATGTATATATTAATATACATATATTTATATATGTGTAACTTTTTTTAATCAAGAGAGGAGAGAATTATCTTTAAAAATTCGATTTAAAAAATACCCTCTTCTCTCATGAATGATTACTTTAAAAATAATTGAAAAAAAATTATTGCGTGTAAATCAATTCATTAGTAATATTTATAATTATAAATTATGTAGATATTCCATCATTTAAATGATACATTGTGTAATTACAATACAATGATAAATAAAATAAAAATACTTTTTTATTTTGATAACTGGGTGCAAACTTATGTCTCATTATTTAAAATTATGGTTTTTAAAGGGCACATTCATCGTTTATGTGTATAAATTGTAAAAGTTAATTATCATATTGGAATTATATTAACATTACATTAACAGACAGAATTAAAAAATATAGAGCGCTAATCGCATAAAAACAATAAATTAATTATCAATAGTTATCATAAATGTAGATTTCTTTTTATTCAATATTTTACATTGCTTCCGTTTCGAAAATTACGCATCACACCTTTGTAACGTGTAAAGACAAAACGTCGGTAATACAAAATTAAATTTATTAAATGCAAGATTTATGTTGTTATCTTTTGTCCAGTTCTTATAAATAATAGACACCCATGAGTCAGCAAGCAAAACAGCAACTCAGTGAGAAGCAGTTAAAAATCATCATTCATTTATAATCTTAATTCATTTCATAATTATTTACAGAAATTGTTGCGTAACGTATACAAATAAATATCTGTTGAGTATTAACTTTAAGACACTGATAGCGAAAGGTAGGTTCAAATCTTACACAATTATCAGAGTATATATTTTTACACTGTGTGTGTTTATATTGGCATTATAAGTTACAATATTTATAAAAGATACAACATGCGTAATTGGCATGTATAAATGAACAAGTATCGAATTTACACATAAAATATGGAAAATTAAAAATTTGCTAAAATTTATTAACTGCTAAATCATGAAAAAACGTTTCATCACGCATATACAAACTTGTCTATTTTACAATAATACAATTACAAATGTGTATCTACATACGAGCCTAAATATATTTATCTAAATATATTTCGCAGTAGCAGAAGTTGCTCGCGCAATAAATAACAAATTTTCCATTTTTATAAATTATAGCTAGTCCTCGTCTGTACCCTTCTGGTACACTGCCCCGAACTTGCTCATGTACTTACGTACAAAATCTCTCGCTTTATGTTTAACATTTTCATTACATTGTAATTCATCCACGCTTTTACAATGTTTTAATTCCTTAGCAAGTACAAAATGTGTTAACTGTAACAGAAGATATAGTTATAAAGAGCACATGTGTGTCGTATGATAAATCTATCATGTATTAAACACAACATACCTTTCTAGCTAGATGCTTGAAATCTTCAGTATTAGTTATTCTACCTTGTTTGCAGTCATTTTTTCTATATGGATTTAAAAAGTGAACCATCACATTAGCCATATTTATTCTAAATGTATCCTTGATTTTCCTTTCAGACATAGGAGACATCTCGGCTGATGTTGATTGCATCTTGCTCAAACCATGTCGCGAATGAGACTTCGATTTATTACTTCGCCTATGTTTTCTTAATTTCTCAACATGATCTTTTAGTTTCGTTCTTTCCTTCTGCCGTCGTAATTTCTCTTTTATTTCTTTATATGCTTTATGATCAATACGATCCTCTTCCCTACGTGGCTGTAATATATAAATAGCAATGTATCGATTGAAATCGCGCAAAGCATAAAAGTTTTAAAGTCATATTAATAATGACAAATTTAATATAATTGTAATATAGAAAATGGAGCAAATTTCTTTTTCGAAGATTGAACGTTTTATAACAATTTTGAAGAGTATATTTTAATATTAATACATAAGGTTGGATACAAAAGAAATACATTATACTTACACTAATAATTCTTTCTTGGACCAGTCCATCTCTTCTTTTCTTAGATTCCGGCAATAAACTTCCAGTCAGATTATGACTACCTAATTTTTTAGATACATTTGGCCTAGACGCGCTCGATGGACTATCTGTTGGAACGCTACTTGCCTCCATGTCATCGTTTTTCTGATCCTCGTTATGATCATCATCAATATCATCGTCGTCCTCATTCGACGAACTGGATTCTTCACTCGATTCCGAGGTAGACGACGAGTCTGGCTGTACTCCGATGTGATCGGGTGGCGGAGGTAACCACTGCGATATTCTTTCCTTCACGTGGTAATAGTACGTTCTACCTCTGCTATCCGTCGCGCTCTTCCACTTCGGTGGCAAATCTATTGCCGGAACTTCAGACTGCGGTCGGCCCGTCACACTTTCCGCGGACGTGAGATTAGAGAATTGTTGATCTGCGGGATTTTCGATGTGATTATAAAGAGGCGCTTGAATTGATGTAGAAGGGACGCCACCGTGAACAGACACTAAACTGTTTGGAAGAGATAGTTGCCCTTCGGTGTACGGTTGCGATGTCAAAGAATAGGAAGATGTTTGATTGAACACAGGCGTTTGACTTAATGAGTAAGCTACTGGTGGCACACCAGGTGGAATACCAGTTGTAATTCCGGACGACATGTCGGTTGTCATTGCTGACGACAGTACATGGGGACTCTGACTCATCATACCGGCAGATTGCGCACTTCCTACGTAAACAGGAGTGCATTGTTGCGTCGCTTCTCCTCCATCTATAAAAAGAATGTTATATTTTCCGTATTAGACATTTTTACACTGTATATATAGATGTCGACTAGAAAAGTCTATAAGAACTATAAAAGTCAAAAGACTATAAAAGTTCGACATTTCTGCACACACAAAATACATTAACAAATAATGACCTTGTGGAGTGGAATAATGCTGCCATTGGCCTAAAGTTGGATTATAAAAAACAGGATAACCAGTTTGAGGATCAACCATGGCAGTAGTATGGGGATCTATACCCAATGCCAAGCATCTGTTCTCATGTTCTTGCCACGATTCTTGCTGTTGACGACGTTGCCTCTCCTCCTCTTCTTTTGCAACTTTCAGTGCGAATAATTGCCTACGTTCATACTTTGTCATTCGTGGTATAGGAACTAGACTCCGTTCTTCTATTCTTTTATCTTTCGTTCTAGTGTGATCGGTTTCTGGAGATTCTCGTCCTCGTCTCCTGTCTCCACGTTTGTCTATCTCACTTCGATTATATCTATCAGATCTATGTCTAAAAGTTTATGAAATTAATAAATTAAAATGTTGTGTAAATAAATTAAAATTTACAACAGTACATTATTAAACATCAAAAAGAAATTCGTTTAACTACTATGATACGTTAAGAATAAAAGTACGTACCTATCATACGACGTGCCTCTCTTTTCTTCTTTCTCCAATTCTTCTCTATATCCCCGATCTATAATAAAAATCAAAACAATATTATATAAATGTAAATAAATATAACTTTTGGCTTTAAATGCCATGTTTTAAAAATTAACGTGTTAGAAATTAACCTGCTTCTCTTTCATGCTCTTTCATTTGCTCAATTCTTTCCTTTTTTGGTATTCTAAAAACTTCTTTTAGATTAGACCATTCAGCAAGAAGACTAGAAGCCAAATCGGGAATATTCTGATCTGTATTCTCTGTTTTAACTTCGCCAACTGCCAAACAACTTTCGATATTGTTGTTACGTTTATCTGGAATGTCAGTCAGACGTTCATCGGGACTTTTCTTCTCATTGCTGTCAGAACTACTCAATTCCTCGCAGCTCATCTTTGATTTACTCTGATCGTCTTCTGGGGAATCAGCATTTGGAGAAAGATATAATCTTTTTGCCCATCTTTCAACTACACCATATATTTTGCTATCCATTAACATTGTCTTGTTTGGTATTGGCAGTGTATTTAGAGTTTTCAGCACTTCTAAGCGAAATTGTTGAGCTTCTTCCGATTCGTTTGTGGCAATATCCATAACGTAACTCCAAATTAAACGCAATCCGTGATAATCCAAAAACAATCTTCGACACGGTTGTTCACCACTTTGAATGAGCCGTAAGAAACGTGTTCTGTGTTCTAATTCTCTGCTACGAACCATTAATCTACTTAATGTTAACGTGTGCGCACGGTTTTTTAAACCGCCTGAGCACAATTTATCTATTTCTTCCTCCAACTAAAATGAAATGTAAAAAAATAAAGTAATAAAGAAGAAATCATTGCTTAAACCATCTTGTTAACACGTGTAATATTACCAATTGTACTTACATCTTCATCCTCCATATAATCATCAGCAGGTTTCGTTTCTTCCTTCTTCTTCTTGGTGTCTCTTTCGCGCGTTTCTTTCTTTTCAATTTTCTCCTTCTCTTCCTCAGGTGTTTCACCTATCCAACCCCGACAATTTACTGACTCACAATAACATTTCTGAGCTTCTTTGCTATTATTGAAACACATAATAAATTGTATTAATGAAAATAAAGATATAAATTTCTATATATAATCGACATAAGAGTAAATAGCTACTCAATAACTAATAATATTAAAAATATCACCAAAAAACGTACCCATAACGTTGAAAATGATAATCAAATGTAATTTCTTCGCCAGCAGTTATAAATTTTGTATTAAAGAAACCTATTCGTAATTCTCCGTTTACTGTCCACTAAAAATATTTAATTATCAGTAAAATCAGTAATGTCCTGGTATTCTTAGAAAATTACTTTTTTTTAGTTGTAGGACGAAAAGTACAAACTCACCTTTTGCGTTTCCGCATTTGGATCACAACTGTGATTAATGAATCGGGATATATTTCCTTTCATAGTAGCATCTATAATCTGATCAGATTTCAATGCCATAAAATAGTAATGTTTGTTTTTATCTTTGGAATATTCTTTTGCTCGACGTCTAAAATCCTTTGGATCTACAACTTCACCTACATACTCCATTATAAACTCGCCCCTGCAATATAAAAGTAACAGCAATATAAAAATAACAAATCTTTATTGTTTCTTATTATCTTTTATTCGTGTTTATTTCTTTACTTAAAATTTTACTTACGCCATTATGTCTACAATGGCACGTAATCCAAAACCTTTCTTCTCCGTTCGAAAAACTTCGCATTTGGCATATTCACAATTTTGAAACCTTCTATTTGTACATCTATCACCTACTACGCATCTAGGTCCGCTAATAAAAATAACATTATCTCCGTTATTATGTCTGTACAATTAATTTTTGCCTTGCTATATATATTAATTAATCTATATATTTTATTTTTATTTTTAATCTGAAGAAAAATGTTATATATCTCAAAAATAGTATTATCTCCGTTATTATGTCTGTACAATTATTTTTTGTCTTGCTATATATATATTAATTAATCTATATTTTTTATTTTTATTTTTAATCTAAAGAAAAAATATTATATATCTTTCTTTTCATTAATATCTTTACTCGTATCATATGCAAACATAATTTATAAAATTGAAATCTTATTAAAAATGATTATTTACCATTCTATCATGAGAAGTCTATTAAGGCAATCTTCTCCACAACCAAGTTCTCCTCTCTCAATATCTTCTTCCGTTAAGAAACAATCACATACCATTCTTTTGGTTTCTTTGTTTGTATATCTAATAACAAATGTTGTAAATATTTAATATCTTATAGATACATAACAATACATATACACTCTCTTAGAAAGGGAGTAAATTCATATATATAACAAAAATTATTAACACTAATCCTTAACTTTACATACCTTTCAGTAAGATACAAGTTTTCATGCAAGTGCTCAAACTGGCTCAGTCTTTCTTCCATTTCTCTGTCTTCTGTTTCGAGAACCATCGGCAACGAAATCTTTGCGCCTATAGTTTTTGGAATTTGTGATACTGTTGAAACAGTAGAAACATTACTGGATATCACCGGTACGTCTTGCTCTGTTTTCTTTTCTGTACAAATTTTCATATTTGTACTAATAACATTATGTTTCGATTCTGATGATGTAAATTCTCCTATACTACTTATTGGTGCATTACGTCCTGATTCAGATGGAGGTGCAATAGACGATCCAAGCATTGACACAGGGGCAATAATAGATCCAAATCCTGCATTTGATCCACCCATTTCAAGCTCACTCGATCTCCGCCAACGGGATTTTACTTTAACTGGCTTTGAAGAGTCAGAATCATATCCTGTGGTATTGTAACTGGTACTTAATGGTGTCAAAGTATCAATCGATGTTGAGATCTTGTTAGAATTATTTTCCTTATCACATTGAGTCTCAAAGTTTTCTATTTTTACTTCCTGAATAATTGAAGAATTCGTATTATTAACTACTTTTTCTTTTTCTTGCTGAAGATTGGCTTTTGAGATGTCTATATTAGGTTTTGTTTTGTTAACCAATCCACGTCCGCGAGATCTGAAAATAATTGATTTTTTTTCATATTAAAATCTGTAATACAGAAAATATAGGAAAAATTATTCGTCTAAAACTAATTATATTAAAAATGTTTTTTTAATATAATTAATTTTAAACGAATAATTTTTAATATATTTTTTAATTAAAGGTTATTTACAACAAAAGTTAATAAAAATATAAATTTTTATCATACTAAAATAATTCAAATATTTGCTGACATTTTTAAAAATTTTCAATTTAAATAATTTTATTTCATACCTTTGTTTCATCAATCCAATCGATCGAATTCTACTACTTCGTCTTACACCTGAACTGTTAGAACTATTTTCAGAGCCTGTTGTATCAATACTTTCACTACGACCTCTGAATTCAATTTTTTTGTCAATATCACTTGTACTGTTAATTGTGCTTTTTATATCAAAGTCGCGCCCTTTGTAATTAGTGAGCGATACTAATGTATCATTACTGTTTTCACTACTGCTGCATAACTTGACATCTTCATTATCAACTTTGTTGTTATCTCCTTCACTATCTTGATATTCATCGATAGTTATTAAATGTTCTGGATTCTTTTGCTGACTCGTATTCCTCTTATCTTTCGATTTTAATGAAACTCGATCTGTACATTGAAGTTTATCAACACAAGAGTTGGATTCCACGATATTTTCTTCCTGATTTTTGATAATATTGTTGGGTTCCACAGTTTTCGAGAACATCTCCTTAACGTGAGAGCTAACAGAATTATTCGGGCGATGTAACTGTTCCATTTTATCTAATATTGACGAACTACTTTCGTCATCAATATTTAATTGCATTGGAGACAATTTTTCTATATTTAAAGGAGTTTGTACCAGAGAATCCGTGCTTTCCACACTCGAGAGATCATTCACCAACTTTTGTATTTCTTGTGAAGATTCGCTTATCTGCATATCTGCCAGTTTATTATCTATTTTATTAAATGAACCTTCCGTTGACGAATCCACATGCATATTTTTTACTTGTAAGTCTTTGCTTTCCCGCCTGCAATTGTCTTCCTCGGTAGAAGAACCCGAATCATCCTTGATGGAACACAAACGAACTTTTTCGGATATCGATTCTGAAATTTCCTTTCTAATTTTATCATAAATTGTCTTGTTTTTTGGTTTTTTACTCCCGTCTTCTAACACAATTTTCTTCTTGCTGATATAAAGTTTATCAGCAGAGAGATTAGATTCTGTAGTACTACTATTCCCACTACTGCACGAAGTGACCGATTCATCCGTGTGCATTGCTGATATGGAATTTTCTGACTTGTCCATATGTACACTATTAACATCTTTTCTAACGGCATGATATTCATCATTCAAAATTTTTTCTGACTTAGACACCATGGATTCACTATCCTCACTTTGTATCACAGTATATTCTACAATGTTCTTGTCTGCAATATCAGGTTCATTTACATACACCTCCTCAACTATAACGTTATTCTGCGCCAGAGGATAATTGTTGTCCCCAACATCCTCGTCCACTTGCATCTCTTCGCAGATTATCATTTCCTCTATGACATCCTCCGACCATGTTTCTGCCTTACCCGATGCAGATGTAGGCATAGGTATAGATTCATTGCTTGGACTTGGATTACCGATAACAACCTGCTGTACATCCTCTGGACTAAGTTTCTCTGAATTTTTAATCATACTATCTATACCATCTTGACTGTCACTTTCACCCGTATCTCGCTTATACCGAGCGGCATTGTATACAGCATTCTCATTATTTACAATTACACTGTTACTGGAAGTACCTTTATGTTTGTTATATTTCTTCTGCGAGTTTTGATTCTTCTTTGAAAGAACTTGGCTGTGACCTTCGCTAGCGGACTTGGAGTCCTCTGAACTGTTTGAGCAAGATGTTTGCGTAATGTATCCATTTATCTTTTTTTCTTCCAATTGCTTCTTAGCTATTTGTCTGCTAGATTTGCGTACAGGTACATATTTATGAGATGATTTCTCAGATGCTTTTACTTCGGTTTTACGTCTGCGTGCCATTTTGATTCCATATATATTCTCTCAGTCTGGAATAATTAAGATTAGCATACAATTTGTTGCAAAGTCTGATTTTTATTCAAATATATTTGAAATATATTTTCCATATATGTAAAACACAATCTGATATAGATATTATTAGAATATTTATGTAACATAGATAAATACCTAATAATGTTTTTTATATATTGCTTTATATCGTATATTCTTTATGTACTATGGATTGCAAAATAATTTTGCAATTATTTAATGTCACAACAAATTTCGAATGCTTTGACTATTGAACAGCCACGAAAAACTAAATTTAAAAAAAAAACATAAAAATACATATATAATTAAAATATTGATTTCTATCGTCTTACTTGAAAAGAATTTTTTTATACGAAGCAAAATATCAGGAAGTTACTAATTTATCAATCTTGTAAATAAAATATTGTAATTGTATAAAAATTTACTTTAAATATTAAATATTAGATTAAAAAATGAACACAGAGACTGAAGGAATAAACGAACGCACGTCTTTCAAGGTCAATCAAGGCAATTTGTTTGCGTTTTTAAAGCTAAAGATCTAACTGAAAAGTTGCCATTATATCAACATGTTTTAAGTACATATATTGCTTTCTCTCTATCCTACTTTCTCTCTTAAAGCAGCTGCAAATCAAAGATTCACAGACAACAGTATATGATTATGCGCGAACGATAAAAGCTGCCGAGGAGCTCGCTGGCCGTCCGCTGAAGTTGATTGTACACTATCGCGAAGCAAGCATCCGATCGCGCGCTCGTGGTCGCTCTTGCAGGGGGGAAAACCAGTCGCTACGTCCGTGCGTCCGCTCTGAGCAAGTAACAACAACCTATACTCACTGTATGCTTCTAAGATTGCGTCCGGCAACTCCGGGGAGAGACTCATTGTTTGGGGGGTACTCAACAACGGCTGCCAAGTGAACGTCCTGCCACAGCTCTCCGGTTTGTCGACATAATCGTGAGTGCCGCGGGGACGAGTGAGGGCTGCGCTAAAAACGTGAAGTACCGCTGGGACGGCTGCGTGCGGGGAGGCGGCTCGGCGGGATCGGGAGTCGCTTTTCGAGTTTGGCGTTTCGGGGAGGACTTCCACGTGAACGGTCGCAGCACGCCGCGCATCGACAGCCGAGGGAGGGGGGGGCTGCCTCCTCGCTGATATTCTCTCGAGATCGCTCTCTCTCTCTCTCTCTCGCTCTCGCTCTCTCGCGCGCGCGCTACCTACGAACCACGGTCTCTCGGCGTTCGTCACGTTTTGGCACTAAACGAGTCTCCCGTCTCGATTCCTCCGTGGATCCTCTGGCGGGGGCCGCTTCCGAGATGCCTTCTCGCGCTCGGCGCGCCTCGTGGCGGTCCTCGTCTCGGCCGGGCGTTAAATGCGCCGAGAGAAGCCCATTGCGCTTCTTCGGGGGCGTTAAAGGACTCACGATGAAAAGTATCCACCGCCGACATACAACATTCTAATCGTGTATATACTCTCGTCGCTACCGAGTACACCGCCTCTCCTCCGCTGCTCCCGTGAAAACTCACTGTCGCAAACGAAACCACAGCGTCAGCAACGACCTGCGGTGGCAGTACCGCGAACTTGTTAATAAGGGAGCAACCGCACGGGGGATATAAGAGGAATTTCATCGGATCTTCAGACGGAAAGAGTTGTGTCAACACTGTCAACAAATAAAGCGAATTCAATTTTTTGCATTATATTATGATCGCATTTTCGAATGACATGCATTTTGACCAATAACACCTTTCATGCGTGTCTGATGCCTCTCTCTCTCTCTCTTCTCTATCAAAGCTAAAAAGGATATCGGAAAAAGATATAAATTCAAAGCATTTATGAATTAGATGAAAAATATATATAATTTTTAAAATTAAAGATATTTTTATAAAATATTAAGTTACATACTTATGTTGTCTAAAATTGTAAATTTATATCTTTATAATAAATGTAATTCTTTGAGTTATCAAATTCTATTAATTTATCTTGTATTGTATATTTTTTTTTCTCGTCATGTAGAAATATTAAAATTAAGTAAATATATATAATATTGCTAAATAATTGGTTTTTCTCATCGCATTCATTTCGCATTCAGTTTATAGAAGCAAGAATCTGGGATATATATATTTTTTATTTAAAAAAGTATAAAACAAGAGAAATGCAGATATGTGCATATCTCATATATATCACTTTATATATCTTCTGTTTCTTATAAAGGTTATCTCACATAGCTTCTCTATTTTACAAATCATACATTTCTTAAAAATCATTTGTTTAGAATTTTTTACGCCGTCAGTCTTTTAATTTTATGTATGTATTCCTTGTAACATGATATTTCAATGTGTGTAATCTCACGCTTAAACTCTATTAGAAAAAGCTTGTCAATATATATAAACACGATAGTCATAATTCGCGATATTCAATTCTCGTTCAATTGAATCTCATCCATTTGTAATCATAATATAAAACCGATAGAACCAATAATAGTTTCGTTTCTAGAAATATAATTATTTTTCGAATAAGATGTAAAATGGAAAGTTTGAATATAAACTTTCTATAAAATAATGATAACATATTAAGATGTAATATATTAGTTATAACATTTTCTTATTATACTTATACAATTCAGGGCAACCCAGACAATATATCTAAAGATAAAGCCTAATATTTTATGGATTTTTGTGATATTTAGGAATAATTTGATTCTCTTTTGAGCTACTTGCATAACAAAAGCATGAGCGTACTATTTATTACAATTATGTATTAAAATAAAAATTATTTACGTCAACGTTCAAAAATGGTCCCATATATATTAAGAGTAGATCTTATTTTACGACTAATTCCTTATAAAAAAAAATCAAATATAATAGTATATATCTCTAAATAGGTAAACAATAAAATTATACATATAAAACACTTTCTGTCAAGGACTTTGTAATTGCTTATTATCAGATTTTGTTTTTGTAAGTGACACATTAGGTACAGTTAAACTGTCACTTGGATCTTGAACGCTCTCGGATGTATTTGTAGTACTGGACCTCTCGCTGTTGGAATTCGAATTTTGGAATTTAGGCGTGGAAGTCCTTCCTTTCAAGAGCACAGCTTGTTCGGTACTCTTGCTAGCTTCCTTGATCGAGATCGACGATACGTCGCTGATATCCGGAAAGCCATTTGAATCGTACTGCTTCTTAGTGGGAGAGATCATCCTTCTAGCTGTATTTATTGGCGTAACGTCCGAATTTGAGGACGAACTAAGGGCACTTGCTTCTCGAGTTTTCTTCAACGTCGTAACCGCCCAGCCCAAACCCAGTTTTTTTAAAGCCGTTTCCATCTCTTCCGGCGATGAGGTATGCTTCAATATGTCCGACGATGGGGAACTCGTTATTTCGGAAATACCAGATAATCCGGAAAAACTGTACGCACTAGTGGACGTCGTTTTATGTTTACTTTCTTTAAGCGGATTATTAAGATCGGTACTTATGGAAGAACCGAGTTTATCTTTCGCTTGAGAAACAGGGTCTTCGGTAGTTGTGTTACACTGTAACTGTTTATTAGATTTTTCAAGCATATACTCCCGCTCAGCTTCGATTCTCGTTTCCGTAATGCAATCGGCCATATTTTTTAATTTTTCAGAAGAATTACAAACAGACGTGGTTTCTTGTGATTTCTGTGCAAAAGATAGCTTTTCGGCAGAATGTTTTATACCGGATGACGGTTCCGTCGATTTCTTCGAGGAATTTTGATTCTGAACAGGTAAAGGCGCCACATGAACAGACGGCTTAGACTTTGCTGGGCTCTTGCTACTTTTGTTAACTGCATCTGTTGTATCAAATTCCACTATCGTTGATAATTCATGTCCTGATGATTCTAATTCTGGTCTGTTTGGATTAAAACAAAGTAGAATAGTTTAAATATAAATAATTTAAAACAAAAATATGATTGAAACATACATACTAAATACAGAATTAATAGTCTTACCTGTATAGTCCATTTAACAATGTAACAGGGGGTTTAGGCCTTGCACTTATTGACGTCACATTTCCATAATTGCGCAATATTTTGGGAATGCCAGTTAATATAGGAACAAAACTGTTTTCTTTTGCTGTCTAAAATATATATGTATACTATGTAAAGTAATTCATGGAAATTGCTTTGTCATAAAATAATATTAATTATCAATAATGTAATAATATAAAGCTCAATAATTAAACAAATTAATTGTTACTATAAAGGGCTACAAGCCCCCAAAGCTAAATGTTTACTGCTTAATATTTACGATAATAAATAATCAAAAACAACATGTAATGACAAACATTTCGACCTCTATCAGGTCATTATCAATGTCAGAGGAGATAGTAATGATTATAAGATGTACATAGAGTTTAAATTCAAAATAGTTAATGTAAATTTTAAAACTTTAAAAAATTTTTAAGTATTGGATTGTTCTTACTTGTGTGAAATTGTCAATTTTAATGTCAATACGCTCGCAATAAAACATTGAATATTAATTATTTTATGCTTTTAACATATCACAAAATACAAATAAAAATATATTATTTACCTCTGGAGTAGAAATAAATTCCTTTTTAGCACTATTGTCCTTTTCATGTTCTAATAAGGCACTCTTTTTCAAATTAAGATCCTTAAAAGACGACACTTTTTGCTGTGTTTCATCATTTTCTTTTGAGGCTGCAAAGGCGGTGCTTGCTTTTTCCAAATTTTTACTCTGTTCTAAAATTTCTTTCGATAATTTCTCTATTATCTCTTCTTCGGGAAGAGGAAGTGTACATGGCGGCCAAGAGTTACGTTCCAACGTTTTTGTTGCCGACGTTGCTTGAGGTTTTGGCTGCATTTTAAATCGATTAAGCTGTATATTAACTCTTTCATTGCTTATAATCTTTGGCATAGCTCTGCCCTCTACTACTTTGGATTCCTGTGCCTTAACAGTATCTACTAATTTACTTCGGGGAGTGGAAGTGATCGCCTGGATTTCCGCATCGCATGAGGCTTCGTCCTTCGAAGTTGCTTCGTTTCCACGCATAATTCTTTGTGATTCAAGAAGAGTTCTCGCGAGTTGGCCATGAATTGCTTCTATACTGTCAATCAATCTACGTACTGCTTGCGCATCATTACGTGCTGGTTTTGGCGTAGATGACTGCATTAAGCTAGTTTCATCGCTGATTAGTGAAAAATCCATATCTGCAAATAAACATGTAATGCTATTTTAAGTTTTGCACAAAAATAATGTTCTATTCATTCCAATTTGATTCAATGTTATTTCGAATGCTAGCGATAAACTATATAAAATGGAATCGCAACAGCACAAAAATGTCTTTATGTTGCAAATGATAAAATCAAGTTGCGCACGTTGAATAAGCAATTTTTTAAATAATACTTTACCTTTCTGTTCATTTCGTACTTTCTCGATGAGGTCGGTTAACGATGCTATTCTTTCCGCACACAAGTTTTGCAGGTCTTCGTATTTTTGCAATATTTCAGGACAATTCTTCAAAGCATAATCGTGAATATCGTCAAGCTTCATATGTAACAATTTACATTGGGGATTTTTGCAGATGCAGACTCTGGATGATGGTTCCTGCGAAGTAGATATACGTCTTGACGCTTCAGATCTCTGCTGACAAATATCTGATGGATCTGTTAAGGTGGACTGATCGCGTTGCGTCGACGACATCACAGTACTGTTATCAGCCTGAAAATCATTTAAGCTAAATCTAAGCATCCTGCTAATCCTATCGCGGTGTGGAATGTTCGACGGCATCATCATTGTACGCGGCGAGGGAGTTTCCGGTGTGGAAACGGGGCTGATCTCCTGCTGTAATCTTCTTAATTCGGGTGCCGGGGAGTCTAGCATCTCCAAGATCGGCGTGACGTTAGTCAGAGCGTCGAATATCGATCTAGGCCTTATTGGCGGTGGACTTGCGAACGACGTTGACGTGTCCGAAGTGTCCTTTATCCGAATCCACCGTTTCATCCGCGTCCGAACCCGATACGGCTTGTCCGTAGACTCGTCTCGATCGTTCACGCCTGAAAACGTCTGCGAGCTTTCCGCGCTGGCGTCTATCGACACTCTCGTTTCCTGCGACGGATCCGTCTCGTCGTCAACTTGAGCAGATCTGCTCACGTGTATGTCAACTTTTCGGGTAGCCGTATCGGGCGTGTCCAAACATCTCGTCTTCTTCTGAGGGGTCAGACGAGAGCCCGACTGAGATCGCGAGAACCTCTTCACGGGTGACGTCGCTTTAGAGCTGACGGATGTCGAGCGAATCTTCTGATAAACTCGATGTGACGATCGCTTCGATACTCTCACGCTGCTTCTCTTCTTCTTGGGCGTTACAATTACTTCCTTGTTGTCAATTTCAATGACCATACCACTGATCTCAGAGCTCGTCGAGTCGTTGCTACTATCGTCCGTCTCTGGCGTGATGATGGTAATTTTTGGCTCGATTGGATGCGGTATTCGTTCGGTTGCATCTCTGCTGGAACGTGGCACGTCTTCTTGAGGTAGTTCCACTTGTACACTCTTGTTCTCCGCTGGACTCGTTTCTTTCAGTGCTGTCTGAATTGCAATCTCAATCTTTTTCACAGGCGATTTATCCGGTCTCTTCGCCCTGCGCTCTTTCCTAATACATTCGTCGCTGCTGGACATATTTATGACTTTGATTTCAGGTGACAAAGGCTTGGTGGGACGAGTGTCAGCTTCCGGTGCTCTTGTCGGCGTTGTATCTTCGAACAGCGGCTTCATGCTGGCATTAAATATATTGTCCGGCAAACTGGCGCCAAATTCTTGCAACAACAATCTCTTTTGTCTTTCAACTTTCCTCAGCATGTCCAATATTTGTTCTTCGCGCGACATCTCGCTATCTCTATCCAGCGGTGTGTAACAAACGTCCGCTTGCTCCTCAATGAGATGAGGATCTTGCCACGTGGAATGAGGTACGTCATCGCGCACGTCGTCTTTCTTTTGCATTGGCAAAGTAATGATTCTCTCCGTGAGACGAGCGCACTGAGTCGGCGTACTGCCCGGACAGACGACCCTTTTAACTGCGCGGTTTAACTTCTTTTGATGTTCCTCTTGGCATTTACTTCTCTGATGCAATCGCATGTGCGTGTCTTCTTCCGCGGATGGGATTTGACTAGCTTTCAGCTTGCGTTCCTCCTGCGCGAGATGATCCAGATTCTGCAGGAGCGTCTGATAATCCCTCCGTACTTTCTCCCGCAAAATCGCATCCTCGCCGCGACGTTGGGCACTTGATTTACAACCTTTAGATACATGCCTCTCTGCATTCTCTGCATTCATTGCTTGCGCCACTTCCATCGCGCTTGGCTCACTTCTGATGTCGGTTCTTTCGACCATAGCAACAGGCCTGTCATAATTAAATCTCTGATGCACGCTGTGATCGTATTGTGATCGTACTTTGTTCTCCGTTAAAACTGAAGTCTTCGGAATCTTGTTGCATGTAGTTTGCTCGACGGTATCGGAAACATACGACAAATCGTCGCTGGTTGAACTGGAACTACTACTAGAGCTACTACTGATGCTGCTCGAATCATCCGATGTGTCGTGTGTGTAATCCTCGGGATTGTACCTCATTGTTTTGTCAATCTTAGTCGGAATAGTGCTCATGGTCGGCACTGTTCTTCGCGGTACTTGATCGTCGCTTGCATCATCAATATGATCGATGTCATGATCAAGTGCATATTTGTCTGCTTTCTTCTTCGAGGATAACTCATAGGACTGAGCAGCGGATTTCCTTTGTAATTCCGAAGGCCCTGGTTTCGGCGACAATGCTTTCTGATGTTGCTCCTTCAAATTAGGTTTCTTTGTCCTGGGCGATTTTTTTGGAAGAACCTTTTTGCTCTTTCTTCTCGGGCTTAACACCTCGTGCATAATTTCCTTATTTACACACTGAGAAGGATTTCTCTCCGTCCTGTCATTCTCCTCGGATGGCTTTGGAAGTTTGGCTATCAATGCAGCCCTTACATTTTCTATCTCTCGGACTCTGCGCAATCTTTCCTGATGAGCCGCTTCCGTGCCATCTGTCTGTTTCGCTTCCCTCATGCGTTCGATGGCATCCTTCCCTCTTTTTAACGCCGCAGCTCTGTCTTTCCTTACCTCCTCTTCGATTATCGCATTCGCGTCCGGTTGCAAAGCAGCAGAGACATGGGCCTGACCGATGTCCTCCAAATCCTCCTGATACTTGCGTTGCAAGTCCATGATCTTTCTGTCGTACATCTGCTTGAGCTCGGACTTTTCATCTTTCTCCAATTTATCAAGCTCTTCCCTCGCTATCTTCTTGGCGCGTTCTAAAAGGCGATTTGATATCTCCTTTGACTGCTGCCGGACCTGTAAGCCGCAATATGACATCGCAATTTGACATGTGTTTACATCGTGTTTACATTGTCAATCGCACAGGATGCGATCGGGTGCAACATAGAAAATTGACAATTCAATTCAATTATGTAGACTCTAATTAAACGGGTTGTTTTTCACTCATTTAAACCGGGTAAAGTCTGAAAATTCTCGGACGAATGCGCATACCTGCTCCAAGCGTAACCTTCGCCGACGGTCGCGTTCATTCTTCTTGATCTGATCCAGATCGGACAGCACCATTCTTCCGCGGCGTACGTTCACAGGGTTCCCAGTCATAGCGTCTATTGATGTATTTCATTGAGGGGAGATCGTGTTAAACTTACACGGGCTTGCAACTACCGACGCAGCCGTGCAATATAGTTTAACTCAAATTTAAAATGACAGGAACGGCCATATCAGATCCGAGGAATGGCTACGATCGTAAGATGCGCGCTCGCTCGATGGACGTATGTATGTATATACGCACTAGAGTCCTAGATTATCAGAGAAGCGCGACCGGTGTTACGAGTCCTGATTGGACACGACAAATGGCCAATCATAAGATTGATTTATCGCTATTATAAATGGCTGCCGAATAAATCAAACTTATGATTGGCCATTTGACGCCATTTTTAATATTTTCTAGTACTTTTGCGATACTGCCATAAGCCGGTCGCGCTTCTCTGATAATCTAGGACTCTAGCTTTCCCCTCACAACCTCTATGCTCTGTCCTTTTATATTCCTATGTCCATGATTGATCCACTATTTTTAACACTATTTTTTGGTACATTATTATTCCAGTCAAATCTTCATAATTTTAACGATTTATTTGTCGCAGGTCAGCAGGAGATGCATACGGTTGTGCGTAAATTACGCAAAGCGTTTCCGTTGAAGAGAATTAAAAAACAGCCCCAAGTTAAAGTGGTAAACTCCGAGAAAAGTGGAACCTCAGAAGCACCGGATAAAGAACAGGACGAAAAAGACGCCGAGGAAGCGTTGCGCCGTAATAAGCAGATGCAAAAGAAGCAGATCATACTTCCAACTATTAATCTCGACGAGTATGTGTATCCGTACTGCAATTATTTTACTGTTCCATGTGTTTTTCTAAAATTTATAAAATATATTTATGTTTAGTTATTCAATAAATCCTACCGATGACACGCACGAAGATTTGATCAACGCGCAGTATGACGACAACTTGGAAGAGGATGAAGATGTGATTGATTTCATGAGACTGACGAAC